TGATTTTAAATTTGAAAATAATAAAAATTCATATATATATTATATATATATATATATATGATTTTTTTTTAAAGTTTACTATAAAAGAATTTTATTTTTAATACTCCCTTTTTATTTTAAAATATAGTAGTATTATCACATTTTTATAATCATTTAAGGCACATATCGTTATTATAAGGTATTCATTGTTTGCAGCAAGCTTGAAGAGCGACATGACTAAAGACTTATTATAAAGCCCTGAAGTTTGAGAATGTCATATCAGGAAATGTTGGTATGAAGTTAAAGTGGAGAGAGGTTAGATCTGTGGCTGGCCGACCTCCTGATCTTCAGCTCCTGTTAATTTCGCTCCAGCGGAGTCCAGAATCCTGGGTTAGGCGCAACTACTGATCGGGCACTTTTTACTACCTGATAGAACAAATGGAAATTACAGAAGAGAAATAGGAACTACAGAAGTAGTAAACAACATTAAATTCTGGCATAAAAATCTAGAATGATGTGGCTTTTCATTATCAATTAGGCTGCATTCAGTAATGATTAGAATATGACTGATGTATATTTTGATGTCTTGTGGCTGCCTTTATTTTGTGCATTTTATATTCATTATATATTATAGTTTTGTTTCGTTTCATTTTACCTTGCTGCCTATATGTCTGCTTTTCCTTATTATAATATAAACCAATAAAATATCAGCAACCAAGAAAAAGAATTAATGACTGCACATATAAATAAAGTTTCAAATACCTATTAAAAAAACGTTAATTTAAAAAGAAATTACGCATAAGATGCATGTGTCCTGACTAGAACTGTTTCATATCAGACTTCAATTTGACATAAACACTATTCACACCTGGAAGGCATCTGTCAAGGTGAGACCCTGGTGCTTCATTAAATAGGCCACACAGACAGTAGCTGAGCGACTGCGTCCATTCTTGCAGTACACAACAGTCCCTCCCCGTTCTGCCTCACTGGCTATGGCATCAGCACAGCGGTCAAAATACTTGTACAGGTCTTCTTGAGGGTCATCATATACAGGTACACGCAAAGTGCTTATCCGCATAGAGGGAAAGGGTTGCTGCTTGGAAACATTAATACAAAGAGTGACCTCCTCCTTCTGGATAAGTTAATTGCTACAGGCTGACTAGGCATTACTGATGATCAGCAGACAGTCTGTAACTGTGCTTAACTGCAGCATCTCTAACTATATGCTTGCAAATATTTGACTATATGTTTGTGTATCTTGAAGGAACATCATAAGTATTGAATAATCATTATAATCACAGGTCCACTGGGTCCCACATTCACAGTGGGAAATAGCTTAATGTTTCATTTAATATAGTCATTTAATTTAAGTTCTGAAGATACTGGTGTTATTACAATAGAGGTAGATGCACACAGTAGATCAGATACTAAATTATATATACTGCATCAGCAAGGAGAATGGTCAGATGTTTCAACCTCGCCCTTACGCAGACAAGTCTTGCGAGCTGTTGATTAAATAAGAGAGGAGAGAACATGATTTGTTTATAACAAATACACACACAGGTAAAGTAATAAAGGCAACAACACTTTTGTACAGTAACCTGAATGTAGGGTAAAGTATTGAAATTGTTCACTGGGCATGCTACAACACCATGTTCAACAGCGCGGATATGCTTAGTATTCCACCCTCATTCAAAACACGACATAAACATTGAGCTCAGATTAAGAAACCATTCTGACCTGCAGATTAGGCATGGGGATGATCCTCGAAGCGGATGTGTCAGAGCTTCATCATCCTGACCGCCACAACAGTCCCAATGACAGGAAAAACGTGCAGTGAACGCACATGCAGCTAATTTACCCCGCCCATTTATGACAATAATCGCCTTCCTCTCCTTCAGTAACCATAGGATTAAAAATAGCTCTGTTACTTGAAACCATTGCTTGAAACCTAAATTTGACATACAGTTGACCCAATCTAGATTTATGTCTATGCTGACGTTTTGTCGCTGAAAAAAAACTGTTTGGACTGTAAAGGCAGTTGAATCATTTATCCGCAGTTGCAACACAATTTGTTGGCAAAAGTGTATTGAGATATGAAAAAATTAAGATCTCACCTTCTGTTTATTTATGGCAATCGAATCATAGCCCCACCTAATGGACAGTTGTGTATTCCAACTTTAAAGAAATAGTTCAGTGTCATTGTATGTAAAATACACTATCTCAGTTTTCATGTTATGTTAACTGAAGAAAGGACGTCATATGTTTAGAATGAGGTGAGAGTAAGTAGACAAGTGTAAGCAGAAATTCTGGGTTAACTAACCCAAATAATCAAACAAATAACTAAATAAATAAGCAATATTAAATAGTAGTAATTATATAACTACTTATAAATAATGCGTAGTATGTAAGAACATTTGTTCTCCACCGCATTTGACAGACAGGTAAATAAAACATGCAGTGAGTGACGCAGTTCTCCCGCCGATGAGTCTGACGTCATGACGTCGTTTCGGAGTTCCAAGCAACGAGAAGAGCGGAAGCCTCGAGATGGAGGCAGGGGGTTAATTAAACGCGAAAAATAGCGAATTAACGCGCACTCTGGAGATAGTTGACATTTAATTTTCAGAAAGACATTACAATAGTCTCCACAAGGAAGAGTCGTGTGTTAAATTTAGATTAATAGACTCAGTCAGCACTGGATATTTTGGGTGAGTTTCTCGAGTATTGACCGGGCGCCATTTAAACACGCTGTGCGGGAGACAGGAAAGAAATACCCACTCTTACAGCCAGCACACCGCTATCTGCTTCAGCGAACAAATTCTGCACTCAAATAAACACACTTATTTTAAGGAGATTATGTTCTTATTCTGGTAGACTGAAAATGTGTCCTGTTTATGAGGGCCTGTGGTAGCATCAGGTATTTATTGTGTTAGCTGGCTAAAGGCTAACAGACCTCGAACTGAAGAGAGACGTTTGTCGACCTCGAACAAGAAACTAAGTTACAGGTATAAATTATGCATTAGTCGCCAGTTCAAGTTTTGTTTTAGCGTCTAAATTTAAGAGAAATGTCTTTAATAATTGACTCGTGTGTTTTAGTTTTAGTAGGTATGAAATTGAGCTCTGCCTTATTACGTGAGTGCGTTGTGTAACACGCCACCTAAAAAATACATTAAACAGTTCCCATAAATGTTTTTCTGGCATTCACAACTCCCTCAATGTTACCCAAATAACGTTTTTATGTCGAACATTTCAAGTCGAGTCGTATTGTATTTGCGAAAGTGCACAACCGCACAGGATGTACGATATGTTTTCCAATAACAGCTCTTAAATTCAGTCCTTTTTCAGAAATGCAGCAGCATCGACTTGACTCTTAAAATAGTTTAAATGAAACTGTATATACTGGATCTATGACGAATACACGTTTAGTCATACTGATAATAAAATATGTTCTCACTTTTCATCTTAAGTACAAGTTTTTTTTTTAGTTTTTTTTTTTATCATTAACCTTAGTGCTAATGGAGGGGCTGATTACTTGTGTACAGAAGAACCGGGTACTGTTTGAATTTGCATTGTTTTTTTGTTTAGTTTTTCCCCTTTTCTTTCCCTCCTCACAAATTAATAATTTGCATAAGTTTTAAGGGGTTAGAGTACACTAGGACAGTACTTACCAATTGGCTTTGGTTCTGGTCCCAAATTTTACATTGAACCTGACAACATTGTTCATACCAAATCAGGTAATAATGCCTCTTAAGCTATTGACTACATTATCACGTTTTACAGTGCAAGTAACAAAGTTGGTTATTGTATTTTAAGACAATTTCTCTAAAAGTATACACTTCATATCTCATTTTTGTTTACTTGCGACCCACCAGTTGAGAATCACTGCTCCAGAAGTTTTTTTTTTCTTCCTGAAGGGACAACAGCTATTCTGTCTATGGTGCAATTTTGTTGCTCTGTGATGTCACATACCCTCACATACATGTGTATGTATGTGTGTGTGTGTATGTATGTGTGTGTATGTATGTGTGTGTGTGTGTATATATATGTATACGTGTATGTATATATTTATCAGTCTGGCGAGTAAACAAAAAAATTTACTAGCCAATGGCGAATCAATTGCCAAGGTGTTCGTAGAGGGCTGTGTTAAAACATCTGCTTATCTGAAAGTTTCGGTCCTCTGACTATAAGTATTAGAAGAATTGAACATGCTCAATGTATACTTATCAGCTTAAGGTTTAATATAGTAGTCACAGGATCACAATTGCAATCTGTGGCACCATTTATTGACTTAAGATGCACAATATTTATGAATAAAATAATCTCATCTGTGATCTCACTGATAAATGCATTAAAGTTAGACTTGACTAAATCAAAATAAAACTGGCACTAGCAGCTACAAAACCAATTTAATGTGACAATGTGGCAACAAAGAAAAAATATAAATGAAGCAATGCTATAACCACAAAAAAGCAGTTTAGTGAGACAACTATGTTATGATTAGAATGTATTTATGATATACAATTTGATATTGTTCAGAGTATGGGGTAAGAAAGTCTTCTATCGTGTGTGTATATATATATATATATATATATATATATATAAATAATTGTGTGTGTGTGTAAACACACTTGAGTACATGAATGCATTTTCCTAGGCATTAGCAGCATCATTCACTCTTATAACACAGACTAGTTTGAACGGTTTAGTACACATACCTTAGTGTATTTGACCCAAGTAAAGTCTAATGGTGTCCTAGTAGGATACATGAGTTGTATTTGTATCGAGAGATGTAATCCATCACCGAGATCTTATTTTATGAGTGAGCTAACAAGAAACTGACATGATTTCGTGTTTTATTTAAAAAAAATTTTTTTGTAGGAAAACAAAATGTTAGAGTGCAATGTATATCTGCTTTTTAGGAGTTAAATTTCAATAATAATTGTTCGCCAACATTTGTATACTAATTATTACATACTATATTTATTGCATACTAATTACAACTTAAACATTTACTTAAAATCACAGGGAATTATACCTGGTTCGATAACTAAATATAACTGTAGTGATGTTGAATTTAGTTATTTGCTTTTACAATGAAATGTCCTATACATGGTGTTAGGTCCTATACGCCTGTTAGGTGCACTTGGTACCATAAAAACAATTAATTGAATCAGTCACTGATGTAATTCCATTTTTATGTGCCCATGTTTTTTTTGTTTTTTTGGGAAAAGCTGTGGAGCTGGCACTCCACCATTCAGACCATTTGACCATTTTTATCATAATGGTTTTAATTGGAAGGATGTCTTTTAGTGAATGCATATTTTTAATATTTGAAAGAATGTCAACTGATGTTTTTTTTTTTTGGAACATTAAGTTATACTAGGTACATTTATTTAGCTGTCAATGCTTTAAACTACATATGCCTAAATTAGAACCAAAGTTGTTTTAGATGCTTCTCTATTTCATTCATTTTGAAGGGTTACTGTGGAAAGCATGATGCTTTTAAAGGTATTTTACGCTGTGGTTTCAGATGCTCAACATTAATAAATATGTATGTAATTTCTCTGACATGTAAAATTATCCTGTCCATTAATCTGGAAAAAGCTTTTAAATTCAGCTTGGGTTTGCTTTGATATTGCTTGCACCATGCCTCGGCTGGCATTTGGAGCACCTTTTTATGGAAACCAATGTATAATTGTGATAAAGAATTTCTTTATAATTATTACAAAGGATTTTACCCTTTGTCGTCTGTCATCCATTTTCACTTGATTACTCTGTTTATGCCTCCTAAACACACTTTTCACATCCCGAAGAACTGTTTTGATTAATTACAATGTCTTATTAATTTGATGCTTAAGCTATGCTCAGGTTCACTTATGTAATGTAGCCAGTTTCTTGCACAGTAGAATTAGAGATGTTTCTTATTTACCAATCGATGGCCTACTCTTTTTTTTATTTTATTAATTTGTTGCTGCAATTTAGTTTTGGATTCTGGGAACAAACTTATTAACCATAAAAAAGTTACAGGTTAAATGTGCCAATATTTCAAACCACTTAGAGTGTTGTTTTAATACTCCAAGTGGTTTGAAATATTGGCACATTTAACCCATAAATATCCATTGCTGACTACACTAATTTGTTAATGTCTTTTATGTTTCTGTGTCTTCTGTTTCTTTTTCTTGACCTCTGCAATTGGTTGTTTTGTCTTAATTTAAAGTGAGCCAGTGTAATAAACCCTAAACTCAAGGTAAATTTCTTTCTCCCATCCTCAGCTGTTACAAAACCGTCACTATGGCAACAGATATTGGCTCACCTCCCCGGTTCTTCCATATGCCTCGGTTCCAGCACCAGGCACCTCGTCAGCTGTTCTACAAGAGGCCGGACTTTGCCCAGCAGCAGGCTATGCAGCAGCTCACTTTCGATGGCAAGCGCATGAGGAAAGCTGTGAACCGCAAGACCATTGATTACAATCCATCTGTCATCAGATATCTTGAGGTATAAGCCTTACAAAATGTAACGGAGTGTGGCAGTGTAACATCTGGCAAATGTAACATCTGGCAAATTACTCCATTTCAGAATCGATTGTGGCAACGAGATCATCGAGATTTCCGTGCTATTCAACCAGATGCAGGCTGCTACAATGATGTATGTTTTACTACTACTTTGCTTAGTTATCATGTTTATTCTTCAAGTTCATATATTTCTCATACTTTTTTTGCAGCTTGTTCCTCCAGTTGGTATGCTTAATAACCCTATGAATGCTGTTACAACAAAGTTTGTCAGAACCTCGACCAACAAAGTCAAATGCCCTGTGTTTGTTGTGCGGGTAAGTGTTAAGCTTTTGATTTGATGCTTTGTGTGAAATGCATCATTTCGCTATATAACCCATATACAGCCTACTCCTTTAGTTTTTCTAAACCTTTCATTACCCTTTTCTTGCCTTCTTATAGTGGACTCCTGAAGGCAGGCGACTTGTAACGGGTGCCTCCAGTGGGGAG